CTTTTAGGCCTGGTGAAAGGGATTTGATTTACAAAATTGCCTGGTCATCTTCAGCTGCAAACATCTCTTTGATTAGGTCCACATTCCAACCACTGCCACTGTTAATCATAAGATCCTTGACAAGTGTTAGGTTATGCCCTTCTGCAGTTCTTTGTGGAAGAAGAACTCCCAATCTAGGGACCCAGCCATGGTATTGTATCTTTGTTTCTTGTCCACTTTTGATTTCTTTCAAAATTCCTTGTTTAAAAGTAGGAAGTAGAGCTAGCCAGTTATTCCACATCCAGGATGCAGAGGGTTTCTTTTTTGCTTCAAAAATGGATGATTTTGGGAAGTAATTGGCTTGCAGTAGTTTACTAACCAAAAGTTGGGGATTTTTGGTGATCCTCCAGAGTTGCTTGAGAATGAGAGACTTGTTGAAGAGACTGAAATCTTGAAAGCCTAAACCACCATTCTGTTTGCGAATAGAAAGTAGTTTCCAGCTTTTCCAGTGTAGTCTTTTTTTCATTTCTTTGCCCTTGCTCCACCAGAAATGGGATCTTAGCTAGATCCTTGCATGTACCAGCTGGTAACATGAAGCAGGACATTGCATAGACATGTAAGGAGTTAAAGGACAACCTTTATGAGGATCTCTTTTCCTGCAGTGGAGAGGTACTTGTTTTTCCAGTTTACCAGTCTCTTTCTTGCTGTTTGCAACACATAGTCAAAGGCTTCCTTCTTGGACCTTCCTATCCCCATAGGAAGTCCAAGGTACCTAGTTGATGAGTGAGGGGTGATGCCTTCGAGGATGTGACAGATGCTCCCTTTGGTGTTGTTATCGGTGTTCTTGCTAAAGAAGATAGTGGATTTAGACATGTTGACACTTTGCCCTGAGAAGAGGTGGTATTTTCTGAGAATATCCCTGAGGTGCAATGCCTGGTCAGAAGTGGCTTTGCAGAACACAAATGAGTCATCTGTAAAGAGCAGATGGGAGAGGGTAGGGCCATCTCTTGCAGTTCTTAATCCTTTGAAAGTACCCAAAGCAATAGCAGAGTGAATGAGAGCAGAGAAAGCCTCTGAGACAATGAGGAATAAGTAGGGGGATAGGGGATCCCCCTGCCTTAATCCCCTTGAAGGTTTTAGGTAGCCCACAGGTTCTCCATTTACCATGAAAGAGAATGAGGTGGTTGTGATGCAAGCAAATATCCACTTGATGAATGAAGAGTCAAATCCTATTTTTAGCATGATATCTCTGATACAACTCCATTCCACTCGGTCAAATGCTTTCAGCATGTCTAACTTCTGTGCCATAAAGCAATGAGGCCCTGTTCTGTGCCTGTTCAGGTAGTCGAAGGCCTCCTGAGTAATGATTATGTTATCCAAAATGTTCCTCCCTAGAAGGAAAGCTCCTTGAGCTTGACTGATGCAGGAGTTTAAGCATTCTTTTAATCTAGTTGCCAGGACCTTAGAAATCATCTTGTAGACCACCCCATACAGACTTATGGGTCTGAACTGAGTGATTGAAGTGGGGTTCAGACATTTAGGCACCAAAGTAACTAGGGTGTGATTCCAGTACCTTAGGATTTGACTAGAGGAAAAAAAAGTTGTAAACTGCTGCACAAAGGTCTTCTTTGACAATGGGCCAGAAGTGTTGGAAGAATAATGATGTCATTCCATCCTCTCTAGGATCCTTTAGAGGATTCATAGAGAATAGAGCCTTTTGGATTTCAGCTTCTGAAATAGGTGTGAGTAGGGCTTCATTCATGTCTGCTGAGATTAAATAGGGGATGTGCTGAGTAATGTCTGATGAACCTTGTGAGCCCCTGATGTAAAAAGATGTTGATAGTACCTGGAATTTTCTTTGGCTATCTCCTCCTAGGTGTCACAGACTCTGTTGTCAGCAGTAATAAGTCTAGAGATTGCATTTCTTTTTCTTCTTTGCATAGCATATGCATGAAAAAAGATAGTGTTTTGATCTCCATCTCTCAGCCATAGCACGCTTGACTTCTGCTGCCAATATAGTTCTTCTGTGGTTTGAGTCTGTTCTAGCTCCTTTCTAATAGTTTCCCATTCTTCTCAGTTTTTTCCTTCACCCATTTGTCTCATTTCTTCCAACTTCAATGTAAGAGACTCCATTTTCTGCTTCTGCTCTGATCTGAAGAATTTGCTCCATTTAGAGAGAGCTAGTCTAGTTTGCTTAATTTGTTCTTTGAGCCTGAAGAAGGGTGTGCTTGTTGAGGGATAGACCATGCATTTTGCACCTCTTCCTTACAACCTGCCCTTTGGAGCCACCTTTTGTCAAAGGTGAATCTTCTGGGTTTCTTGACTGTATGGACTTTGTCATCTAACAAAAGAACTCCATGGTCAGTAGCACTTCTGTAAAGGTTGGCAATCTGAGCTTGTGGGAATTTAGACATCCAAAAAAGAGAACCCAAGCCTCTGTCAAGCTTTTTCTTCAACATAGCCTTCTTGGTCTCTATTGTTACCCCCAAGTGTAGTGATAGCCTGTCATTGGGATTTCATCCATCCCCATTGAAGAGATGAAGCTATTGAATGCAAGGAAGCTGTTAGCAGGTCTCGGCTTGCCTCCTCTTTTATCCTCTTGAGCTGTGATGTCATTCCAATCCCCTAAGATAGTCCAGTAGTCACCCCAATCATGCTTATCCTGCTCTAGCAGCCTCCATTGGTTAGTTCTGATGGTTTTGTCTGTGTTCATGTAGACAAAGGAGATCCATCAGGGTAATTCAGATTGGATCATTGAGAATTGGACTTGGATGCAAAATTTTGTGCTTCTGATATTCAAAATCTGAAGATCAGAGTCCCATAACAGCAAAAGCCCACCTTTGGTGCCCAAAGGTTCCACAAAATAATATATGTCCTCAAAACCTAGTTTTCTGCATACCTCCATAGAGATTTTTTTTTTTGTTTTTTAATTTCAAACAGGAAAATAAAGTTTGGATGGTGAGATTGAATAATCTCTCTTATCTGGGATACTGTAGAGGGCCCACCAGACCTCTACAGTTCCACACCATAGCTTCCATTGGGGGGTTGGGGCCAATTATGGCTGGCTGCCTCCACCTTGTCCTTTGAAAGTTTTGGTTTTTTGAATGTCATCTGCTTAGCCTCATGTACTATAACAGTTGTTTTTTAGCTCTCTTCTTTGGTTCTCTTGTTGTGCTTAGGAGAAGGAATGACTTGTGTTGTTTCACTTTCTCTGGCCAGTCTGCAAACTTTTGAAGCTGCTCTCTTCCATGTCTTCCCTTGGACTGGTTTGATAGTCAAAGCAGGAGGTGCATAACCCTTTTCTATCTGCATGGCCATATCTCCTTCCCTGGGTACAGCTTGGACCTCTAAGGGTGGTTGGGTGCTGGAGTTGCTTTCCTGAATAGTGTGCATCACTGCTACTAATTCTTTACCTTTAGAAGACTGGTTAGATATGTGAAAGGAAGCTGATGACTCTTCAATCCCTTATGAGTTAGGTTCACGAATATTGTTGAGATTTTGCAAAAGGAGGTTAATGTTGTTAGCTTCTGGGCCCTGGGAGTGTTGCTGTGGAAAGGAATCATTTTTGCCTTCAGTTGAGGTGCTATGGATATTGTTTCCTTCTTCCTGCGATTGGGAGTATGTGCTAATTGTTGGAGAACTAGATATAACTGTACCTTCTANCATTGAGAGAATTTGTAGCAAAGTCTTCCTCCTTATTTTAGGAACTTATTTAAATCACAAGTAAATAAATAGAAAACTTCCTTTTAATTTATTTTGCTTGCTTAACAAGAAATCTTCTAGAAAACACTTAGGTTTGTCGGACGATGTCAAACTGATATTCTTACAAGTATGATGCGATATTTGTCAATAGTTGATTTGTAAATGTGCTCTCCACTTGATAATGATGAAGGACATAAACTTGTCCATCCTTGTGCTCGTCAATGAACTTGGGTATGTGAACAGGCCTTATGAGACAAGTTATCTGCCCACCCTTAAAAAAACGAATTATAATGCATCACATGAAAAAAAATTAATAATAGAAAGAAGTGACGAACCTCACTATCATGCAAAATTAACTCAATCACATTTTGTAAGAAATATTCTCGGACGATCTTTGAAACATGCAAATTATACGAAGCTTGAGCAGTAGCGTATTGGATCTCTTGATATTTCTAAAATGTGTTTCGTAAATAGAGTGTGTTGAATGCAATAATCATTGTTTACATTGGTCTTCTGAAATTGATTTATGTTTCATTTGTTTATTAGATCAATGCAAATATTTTTGGATATTTAGTTTATGTTTTTAATATTACATATCTAATTTTTTATTGGTAATATTATAAAAAAAAAATTCAATTTCTCCGATTATTAATTAGGAATGACAATCGTGCAAATTGGTTTTAATTTCTTAGGACATTATTTTAGAATTTTAATAAGATTACAATCAATTTTAGTTTTAATAAAAAAAAAAACAAAAAACTTAAATTGTGCTACCTTATGGAATCAAATTTTATCATTTATAATAAAAAATAAGAATCATAATCTAATATTTTTGTGCAAATGAAATTTATTTTCCTAACTGTAGTAGACGTTTTTTTAAGAATTTTATTTATTTCAAATTACTATCAATATGAGTTTCAATATCTTCAAATTATGCTTATTTTAGGATTATTACATATCCGGTATTTAGTTGGTAAAGATTATAAAAAAATTTCAATTGTCTGATAGTTAATTAGGTATGAAAATCGTGCAAATGAGTATTACTAAATCTAGGGTACTATTTTAGAATTTTAATAATGTTAATGATTATCAATTAGAGTTTAAAAAAACTTAAATTGTGCTACTTCATGGAATTATATTTTAGCATTTATTTGATAAAAAAAATAAAATCTAATATATTATATGCAAATAAAATTTACTTTCCTTACTATAGTAGATTAAATTGTGCTATCTTATAGATCTGAATGATAATTAGATTTTAAAATTGGTTTTAATTATGATTATGAACCAAAAATGACCAAA